ATAGATGTACAAATCTCTTAATCCAAATCTTCAGTTTTAACATGTTTTACCATTATTTTCCCTTTGTTGACATCACATGCATGTATTTACACACACATACATATATAAGTATGTATACACACATATATGCACATATTTATTTTATTTTGAATTATATCCATTTCTGTAACTCAACTGCAACTGTTTTCTAGCTAAGTAGATAATAAAAGGAAAGAGATAAAAAGGGAAGAAAAATGCAAAAACAAAGAAGAGAGCCTGAGAAAAAAATAAAGAATTTAACATGAAAGAGAAAACTTCAACATTCTTGCTTGTAAATTGGGATACTAAAGTTTCTTTTTATAGTTTATTTAAGCTGAGATATATTAAAAGATACAAAAATCTCACATACTGTAGTCCTTTAATAATTTAAATCCTAATCCTTCCCACCTCAGGCACACATCTTTTTCTTCACTTAATATCTTTACATTTCAGTACCAATTAAGAGCAATTGGTATCATTAATAATAATAATGGTGATGGTTGCTTCTACCTTTATAGAGCCCTACCATGTGTCAGAAACTGTACTTAGCTTCAAATAAATTATTTATAATGCCAAAATATGATAAAGAAAAACACTTAGCAGAATAATCAGCACATAAACATGCTCAAAATGTTTTTCTTACCAATATTTATTAATTTTCTTTTATAATTTCATTTATTTTTTCCTGGACTTTTTTTCCTTTTATTTATGTCTGATAGCATTCTAAGCAGGCACCAGACTCAAGAAATTTCTAGCAATGTTGCTGTTTTCTTCATATATTTACATTCTGTCGGGGCTTTTGCTTGACTCTTCTGCTTCTCACTAAATTTCATTGGCACTGGATGGCCTAACCAGATTCCCGGTCTCACACTGACCATGGCTTCCAGGGAAGACAATTTATGTTTTCAAGTAACACAGCAAGTTAGCTAGAAATCCATGCATTTTAATCAGGGGTTTCAGCTTACTACTGAAAACACTACATATTTTTTTTATTTGCCATTCAAAGACTGTATATGTTTATTTTTTCCTCTGCCAGTGCATCTTTGATCATTCAATTTAAACAATCCTTGTTACATAATTTTATTACATACATTTTAGATACTTATTGTAGACATTTATTTCAATCCTTTATTTAGTGCCTTTGTTAAAATCGTTCAGTGTAAGAACTTCTCTGGCTGTCTAATGTTGACCGTTCAATGTCTTCTACTATCATAATTATTTTTCCAGTCATGCTAAGATGCATGTTAATAAGATTTTGTCCTTTCAAACACAGCCAATCAAGAACCCAAAATGGACAATAATTGCTCATATTTTCATCTCTAAAATTAGAACTTACAACCAATTCTTTTAAACTTATGAATATCTATTATACTTTTCTTAATAATATTATATTCTGAAAAGCTTACATTTTTGTCAATAATAATCATGCTATAGTTTCTAAATTTTGAATACCAAAAGACTGTGCACAATGTGAACTAATAATTACAGTGAATGATATAGAAAACAATGATAGGCCCATGATTTCAGTTTACTTTGTAGGTCTGTGTAATTTCATACTGACTGGTTCGTGAGAAAATTAATGAAACTGACAATCTGAATGACAAGGAAGCTGGTAACTAGATTCTAAATGTTCATCTCTGCATATCGATGTCAATTGAGAAAACTATTAATATCAGAGGAAATTACAGAAATAGTTAAACACATGGCTATGAAAGAAAAGGAGAGCTTAATGGAGTCAGAATAGACAGCCATAATTAAGACACTATGGCAGAATATTCATCTGAAGTAACAAAAATATTTATGGATTTTTTTAGAAAGTGAAAAAAATATTAAAATTTGTTTGTGAGATTGTTTAACTGTTCTCAATGTACAATGAAGTTAATCTTCTATGATTTATCTCTGGACTTGAAATTTATGTAGCACTGGCTGTTATAATTTTCAAATTAAAAAATGTATACCTAATACATATACTTATTTAAGTATATACATAAACAATTTGAAAGCAATTGAACATCTATAATTTTTTAACATTATTAAAATCTGGCTATATTTTAATTTTACTAATTTAAGATTTTGATTGTTTTCCTTCTTATGGGAAGATCTACTCATTATAAATTCTATTTCTTGCCATGATTTGAAATACAATGCTCTTCACACTTTTCTCTTTCCATGTTTATATTATTGCTATTGCGATTACTATAATTTTTTTTCTTCTCTTATATGGATTCTTCTTTTTTCATTTTTTTATTTTATTTTGCACTTTGGTGTACATGTTCACATCCTGCATCCTGTAGGATTGTTGCATAAGTACATACACGCCACGGTGGTGGTGGTTTTCTGCCTCTAGCCCCCTGCCCCCCTCCCCTATCGCCTACACCAGGCATTTCTCCTGGTGTTATCTCTCCCCATCCTCCCAACCTCCCCCCACTTTCCCTCCCCTCCCCACCTCCACTCTCACACCTAGCCCAGTGAGTGTTGTTCTTTTCCCTGTGACCAGCTGTTCTCATTGTTCTTCACCAGCCTATGAGAGAAAACATGTGGTGTTTGGTTTTCTGTTCTTGTGTCAATTTGCTGAGAATGATGGTTTCCATATTCATTCATGTCTCCACAAAGGACACTAACTCGTCGTTTTTTATAGCTGCATAGTATTCCATGGTGTATATGTGCCAGATTTTCTTTGTCCAGTCTATCATTGATGGGCATTTGGGTTGGTTCCAGGTCTTTGCTATCATAAACAGCACCGCGACAAACATACATGTGCATGTGTCTTTTTCCTACAATTTAATAAGATTCGTTTAGTTTGGATATATCATATACACTTTAGCAATTTTAAAAAGTACTGATTTTCCTTTCAAAATCAATGTCATGATCACTTTCAAAATGCATTTATTATCATTCACCTTTCACTTACACATTGACTGTTTTCTGGTGAATGAACTTAGTTTTTATTTTATTTTCAAGGTTTAGATTCAGGAGGTCCATGTGTAGGTTTGTTACCTGTCTGTATTTGGTGATGCTGAGGTTTGGGCTTCTAATTATCCCATTGCACAAACAGTAAACATAGTACCTGACAGGTAGTTTTTCAATACTTGCCCCATGGGGACTCCTTAGTGTTTACTGTTTCCATCTTTGTGTCTGTATGCACCCAATGTTCAGCTCCCACTGGTAAGTGAGAATATATGTGGTATTTGGTTTTCTCTTTCTTTGTTAACTTGTTGAGGACAATGACTTTCAGTTGCATTTGTGTTGCTGCAAAGGACATGACTTCATTCCTTTTTATGGTGACATAGTATTTCATAGTGTATGTGTACCACATTGTCTGTATCCAATGCACTGCTAATGCACACCTGGGTTGATTCCATGTCTTTGATATTGTGAATAGTACTGTCTCAAACATACAAGTACAGGTGTTTTTTTGGTAGAATGATTTCTTTACTTTTGAGCATATACCCAAGGCAAGGGGAATATAATTAAGGGGTTTGCTAGGTCAAATGGTAGTTCTATTTTCAGTTCTTTGAGAAATTTCTAAACTGCTTTACACAGGGGCTGAAATAATTTGCATTCCCACCAAAAATGCATAAGTGTTCCCTTTTCTCCATAACCTCTAAAACATACTGTTATTTTCTGACTTTTTAAAAATAGTCATTCTGACTGGTATGACATGGTTTTGATTTGCATTTCTTTGACGATTAGTAATGCTGAACATTCTTTCATATGTTCACTGGCCACATGTATGACTTCTTTTGAGAACTATCTATTCATGTTTGTTGCCACAATTTAATGGGGTTATTTGTTATTTTTCTTGTTGATTTGTTTAAGTTCCCTACAGATTTTAGGTACTAGTCCTCTGTCAGGTGCATAGTTCGCAAATATTTTCTCCCAGTTTGTAGGTTTTCTGTTTCCTCTGTTGATATTCTCTTTTGGTGTGCAGTGGTTCTTTAGTTTAATTAGGTCCCAATTGGCAATTTGTGTGCGTGTATTTCTTGTTATTGTATTTGCTTTTGAGGACCTGGTCATAAATTCTCTGCCATGGCCAATGTCTAGGAAGGTACTTTCTAGGTTATCTTCTAGGATCTTTTTGTAGTTTGAGGTCTTAGACTTAAATCTTTAATCCATCATTCGTTGATGTTTGTGCGTTTTCAGAGGTAGAGGGTTCAGTTTCATTTTTCTCCTCATGCTTAATTTCCCCAGCATCATTTTTTGAATGGAATACTCTTTCCTTATTGTTTATTTTTGTTGACTTTGTTGAAGATCAATTGGTTGTAGGTGTGTGGCTTTATCTCAGGGGTTCTCTATTCTGTTCCATTGGTCTATGTGTCTATTTCTGTACCAGTGTCATGCTGTAGCTTTATAGTATAACTTGAAGTTGGTAAATGTAATGTCGCAATTTTATTCTTTTTGCTTAGGATTGTCTTGGCTATTCAGGCTCTTTTCTGATGATGATAGAGTCAGTAAATAAATAGTTGATATGCATACTGCTTAATGAGGAATTATTTCCATTTTACATGTGTACATGTCTCACTCTCCTACTTTGACTTTCATATAGCCATTTCCTCGATATTTTCTGTATTAAAAATAGCAAAGATACATATAATATGTTATGTGTACCAAGAAATTTTTAATAGAACTTGGGCCATGTGAGGTGGCTCACGCCTGTAATTCTAGCACGTTGGTAGATTGAGTTGGGTGGATCACTTGAGATCAGGAGTTTGAGACCAGCCTGGCCAACATGAAAAAAAACCCATCTCTACTAAAAATACAAAAAGTTAGCCCAGTGTGGTGGCACACAAACCTAAGCCCAGCTACTCAGGAGGCTGAGGCATGAGAGTCGTTTGAGCCTGGGAGATGAACGTTGCAGGAATTCAAGCTTGTGCCAGAGTACTCCAGCCTGGGTGACAAAGCAAGAATCCATTTAAAATAAATAAATAAAATAACTTTTCACATATTAATTTATTTAAAATTCCCAACAGTACATAAGATACTTTTTAAATCCCCATTTTACAGATAAAACATTAAATTTTACAATAGTTTTTTTTAACCTGGTGAATTAGTATATTTGTTAAAGAAAGAAATAAAGAAATCCATAGCTGAGAGTTCTCTAATTGTGTGTTTTGACTATTATGGAGTTCTTGGGACATTCCTCTCACTGTTGTGGATACTGAAAGATCAACTTGTCTATTGTCTGGCTTCTGGAGAGCAGAGACAGCTTTCTGGAACCCTGAGCTTGATCTTGTCATGTGAAAAATCTGTTAGAAGAAAGGGAAAACTTAAGTTGCTTCTATCTAGCACAAACTAGATTACGTTGATACTTTAGGGTCTTTTCTAAACTCATTTGACAAATCATCATTTTGATACTCCTGAGCCAATGCCAGTTAAGCAAAAGGTTGAGGCATAACAGCTATGAGGCATGAGGTAAGGGTGGGTGTGTGTTTGGCCACTTGTATGACTTATTTTGAGAAGTGTGTGTTCATATTCTTTGTCCACTTCTTAATGGAGTCATTTGTTGCTTTCCTGTTGATTTGTTTAAGTTCACTACAGATTCTGGATATTGTCGGTTGTCAGGTGCATAGTTTGCAAATATTTTCTCTCATTCTGTATGTTATCTGTTTCCTCTGTTGATATTCTCTTTAGCTGTGCAGTAGTTCTTTAATTAGGTCCCAAATGTGTGTGTGTGTGTGTGTGTGTGTGTGTGTGTGTGTGTGTGTCTACAGATCCAATATATGTCAATGCATAGTTAAAACACTAATATTTGTGAATGCATAGTTCTACCACTAAAATTAATTAGACTCAGTAATTAGACTCAGTGTGCAATAAATTATTCTGGGGGCAAGGCTAAACTTGATTCAAAATGGAGTATGTCCCATTGAACTATCATAGAACACACAACTAAATTTACACAGAAAACAAAATTTACCTAGCCCTGGATGTACCATTTTCTTGTAGACAGAAGCCTAAGTATTGTGAAAATTTACCACTTGCAAATATATTTCTAACAGGGTATTAAATCACATCTTTAATATTTTGACAGTACTGTTAACATTTGATAAAATGAGCTTCACAGATTAGCATTCTGATTTACAACTCCCCAAACACTTGGAGATTTTAGAAGGGTGTCTTGAGCTAAATGAGATAAAATAAATAAATGACACACTGGTTTAAAAAATCTCTTCTCCTTCAGAAATAGGGATGGAATGCATACCAACAAAAATATGCTCTAAATCAGAAAATTAAAAAATATTAAATCAGATGAACAGTGAAGTTAATTATTCCAAAGTAATAAGATCTTATAAATAAAATCATTGAGGAATAATCAAACTTTTTGATTCTATTCATTGTTTTGTTGCTTAAGTTGGATCTATCTTGCCTCATTTAATGATTTAGCACACATTAATTGAACACCACCTACAGGAAGTGGTGATATGTTGAACGAGAAGATGAACTCGGAGGCCAAGCTGTATTGAATTCTATCTCTTTTCCTTTATTGCTATAAGTTCTTGCAAAGTTACTTCACTCTTCGGTGGCCTCATGTTTTATCTGTAAAATGGGAATAATAAAAGTATGTTATACATTTGTTGTACATTTTAAATGAATTAATATGGGTAAAGTTTTCTTAAAAAGTGCTTGGCACACCTAACATATTACATGCATCTTGGCTATTTTAAAAATAGAACATATTAAGAAAATGTCTATGTAGCTGTCAATGTATACATGTAAAATAGAAATAGCTCTACATTAAGTAGTATGCATATCAACTATTTGTTTTTTATCTGTACATTATCCATTATGCTTTAGACACCACCACAATATTTCTTTGAAGGACCACCATTTAACTCAGTCCACGTGGTTTAAATGGTATTTAGTCTTTTGTCTGCTCTATGTCTCCAGTTCCTGACGTGGAGGCTGTTCAGGTCTGATCAATAAGTCTATTCTATCCCACTAGCCATAGCATTTGGTTAAAAATGAAGATGTGAAATAATAAGTATCTGAGGGAGAATATCACAATTTGTAAATCTATTTGGAGATGCTCTCTGCTTGTGGGGATCCTTAGTTTTAAGTGTGATGTGGTAAAGTTAGGGGTGCCAGCAGCCACAGTAGTGATATAGATTGCAGGTGAATGAAATAAACCAGAAGAAAAGAGTGCCAGAAGATAGATAGATGATATAGATAGATAGATAGATAGATAGATAGATAGATAGATAATTGATAGATAGATAGATAGATGATAGATAGATAGATGATAGATAGATAGACAGATAGATGATAGATAGATAGATGATAGATGGATAGATAGATGGATAGATAGATAGATGATAGATGATAGATAGATAGATGATAGATAGATAGATAGATGATAGATAGATGATAGATAGATAGATAGATAGATAGATAGATAGATAGATAGACAGAGGACTACAGAGAGAAGGGAGAGAGGGTGGCAGTACTTATGCTATCAGTTGAGTTCCCAAATGCAGCTGTGTCTGCAGTAAACATGTTCTTGGGATTTTGACCTGCATGAGTCAATATGTTCTTGTATACATTTTTAAGTAAGTGTGATTCAGGTGCTTCTGTTAGCTGACAAGAGTACATCCTAATACATAGGAGTTAATAATTGCCTTAAGAGGTGTAAAAACAATGTACTATTGACATTTTAATATCAAAGTACTGCTTCATCAAGAGATATTGAGCCTGAACAATATTAGAGCTTTTAAATCTCTAGGCTTTTAAAGTTTTATTACTTATAAAATCGTTGCATATGGCAACAGAAACATTACCTTTTAGCCTTTGCTCCTCAATCTTCCTTCTGAGAGCACTTACTAGAGAGTTTCTCTGTCACAGCATGTCACAGTCTTTCTCAACAATTAAGGTTGGGCAGCCATTTGCTCCTTGGTTCTCTTACACACTTTGTACATAAAAGCCTGACCAGGTTTGATTTAAATTTCTGGTTTTACACGTGTCTTCCCAATGAGACTGCAGGCACTTTGAAGGCGCAGATAATGTCATATTCACCATTGCATCCTCTGCATGTATCACAATATCTAAAACACAGCAGTGCTCTGTATTTGTTAAATTCCCACAATGGCATTAAAAGCTGAATAATGGAGTGGTACTGTCTATTGTAAAATGATATTACTGTTACTTAGACAAAGCCTGTCAGAGCCCATGTGTACTAGTTGCTATGGCTGCTGCAACAAAGTACCCGAGTATGGGTGGCTTGAACAACAGAAATTTATTTTCTTACATGTCTGGAGCCCAGAAGTCCAAAATCAATGTGTTCCTTCCCAGGTTTACTTTCTTTTGAAGCTGCTCTTTTTTGGTTCTTCCTTTGTCTTCATATAGTCTTTCCTCTGTGTGGTCACATGACCATTTCCAAAATTTCCTTTTCTTATAAGTCCACCAGTCATACTGAATTAGGCTCCAACTAGAGGCTTTATTAACTAGATGACTGTTTTAAAAAGCTTACATCCAAATGGAAGTACAATCTCAGTTAAACCATGTGAAAGTAATGTCACTTTGGTGGATATTCCTCCATCTATTCAGCTTTTCTTTAGCTATGAGGTGTTCATACCACCTGAGACTACCTAGTAGGACACTTTCTTCTGGCCTGTTTCACATCTTAGCTTTTTTTCCGCTCTAACACCACTTGGACAGTTCTTTAATCCTTTTTCAATCTCTTCCTCTTTCCCTCATCACTCACTCCCTTCCACTCCTTGCAAGGAGCTGCCTGACCTTCCCTTCTCTGTCTAAGGTAGAATGGTCTACCATTTATTGTCATCTAATCTTACTTTATTAGACAGGTCTATGTTGACATGAGTTTGAGTAGGAGATAGCAAAGCTTTGCCAATATAAAAGGGAAAGGGAGAGTCTGTTCATCAAGCTTTGGCTCCAGAATGTTCTAACTACAAGACAATAAGTAGATGCATGAGTTTTGATGTATCCCCTGAGAATAATTATGATCAAAGTTATGCCCCTTTGTCTGGTTTCCCTTGAATTTCTCAAAGTCCCCTTTCTTAACCTAGCATGTTCTAAGGAAGTGGTGAAGAGAATATCTCTTGCTACAAACAAATGAAATGAATTTGGAATTCTCAATTGGTGACTGGCATTGGGAAAGACAAATATTATGTTTGGGACTTTAATATCATTAGTTTATTTATTATTACCTGATGATGTTTTTCTCTATTGTGGTATATCCCTTAATTTGGTATCTTAAGCTGCTTTTATAGAAAAAAGCACCATTAAATGTGAGAAACTTGCAAGTACTTAGGAGAATTCCACATGTATGTATAATTTAGTTATTCAGTGAGAAAGACTGTACATATGGGTAACAGATATTAAACAATTCGGACACAAAAGGATAAATACTATTGCTTTGAAAGTGCTTTGCTAGTAACAGTTGACACCTTCTAATGATATTAATATAAAAATGGGTACTATCCCCATTCTAAAGAAAGCACGCAAAAGCATGTACTCTAAGAAAATCACAGTTGAGGTTATCATTGTTTTAGGGAGCAGTTTACTATTATGTTTGCCAGATTATTATTAAGACCTACCTTGAACAGTGTCACTGTTTGAAAAAATACATGCCATTAGTTATCATGATAAAGCTGTACACGGTTCAGTGAATAACCACAACCATAATGGAGACCTTATTCACCTTGGAGGACAGTTGAGTCAGCAGTGTAAAATTTATAGACAAGGGGCAGGGAGTTTTCTTAAGAATTTTAGAGATTAATGAAGGTGTTGATACACTTCAATACTGAAAAAATTTATAAATAAAATTCTGTATGTATAGTTTTGTTAAAATAAGATTTTCTGTTGGGTTTCAGGTTTCTTTTAAGTTGTTATCTTTTCTTTTTATCCTACTAGGGGTTTAACTCAATGATACGATAATATAAACAATAATAATAACTGTTGACATTCACTAAATTTTAATGTGTATTGCATATTATGGTCAACCCTTTTAATGGATTACTTTATTTAATGCTCCCAATAGCTCCACTGATTATGTTCGTCAGTTGTCCTCATTTTATGGATAAACTGAACTGAGGTATACTGAGATGCAATAATTGACCCAAGGACATATAGATAGCAATTTGCAAATCTCAGTTTCTTCTTCAGGCATTCTGACCCCAGCTCTGGCACTCTTAACACTAGAAATTTCGGGCAATTTTAAAAGCTAGTTAGTTTATACAGTATTAAGTTTGACTTATGCAGCTAGCAATAAATAGGTGCCAGAATAGATGACTGGACTCTCAAGTTTTATTTTAAACCTGAATGTGTTCAGAGTAGACATTATCATGTACTTGTTAGCATGCAGGGCATCCCCCCAGTTAATAATTGGTTTCTGTCAATATGCTTAAGGGTTTAATGTACCTGGCTTTCATTCAAACCATTAATAGCCTGCAACTACCTTAAACTCTGGTGAGCTATGATTAACCTTTTCATTACAGTTTCATCTATAGGATAAAACAGCAACTTCAGGAAAACCCTTACATGCAGTAAAACATTACACTAACAGGAAAGATTCAGTAACTTTCAGAATAAATTATTTCTCAAGCAATCATTTTCATTCTTTCCTTCTTTCTCTTTCTTTCTTTCTTTCTTTCTTTCTTTCTTTCTTTCTTTCTTTCTTTCTTTCTTTCTTCTTTCTTTCTTCCTTTTTTTCTTTTACCTGAAGATTGTTTAAAGTTCTATATTCCATCAGTGATTCCTCAGTTGTCTCTTTCACCTGTAAGAAGGTGAGTGGAATAGGCTATGGCTCCCCTCTCCACCAGCATGTATATTTTTAAGTAAGGATTCTTTCTAGAATTAATGTGTGAGTGCTTAAGTAAGTGAATAGATATATATTCTGGTATCAGCCTGTCCCAGAGCAGAAAACTACAAAACCAATTCTTCTTCAGAAAAATAAGCAATATCCCTATGCCAATGTGCATGTTTTGTATCTATTAGCTATCTCTCTAAGAAAATACATTAATATAAAATCATGTTTTGAAAAAAAAATTATTTTCAGTATTTCTTCAAAATACCTTCAAATTCATTACAAAGGGAGAGAGGTCTTGTGAAGCCTGTCACATTGCCATGTAACCCTGGGTGCTTTATGCATTCTCCTTTAGTCTACAGTAAATAGTTTATTTTCTGTTTCCTGAATTTGCCTTTTGGTTCAAGTATTTCAACACTGGGGGCAATACTATGGAAGTTATCCAGAGCTCAAGCTTTTTTTTTTAACTGTTCAAATCAGGACTGACATTTTTCAGTACAACCTAATAGCAGAAACCAGATTTTGTGTTAATTTGAAATGTACATAATGCCATTTTACAGAAAGTTATTCAGATGTGTAAATTCTGAATAACTCTTTATTTTGGCATTATATTTTTTATTGTACTTCAGATTCTGGGGTACATGTGCAGATCATGCAGGATTGCTGCATAAGTACATACTGGCAATGAGGTTTGCTGCCTCCATCCCCCTGTCACTTATATCTGGCTTTTCTCTCCATGTTATCCCTCCCCAACCTCCCTAGTCCCCACCAACAGACC